TACTAAAAAAAATACTTTAAGAAGCACTTAGAAAATCATATTCTAAAGCCAAAATAAGAATTAAAAAAAAAATTATAAGGTAATTCTACGCTTCTTTTGGACAGCAGTGCATTAAAGAACAGAATGATAAGTTATTCTACTCATTATCCCAAGAAATCTATAAGTTTACAACAAATAAGTCATGGAAAGAAATCTTGATAAGGGTGTTTGGTGTGAAATAATAATAATAAGCCTAAACAATAGTGTATTTTATTCAAAGCATGAGTAGTTGGTGGGTCAAGTCAATAAGAGCAAGAGCTTCAAAATCATTATTTTGATAAAAGGAATATTGGAGATTTGATTATAGGTCAAAATGATCAAACTTTAAAATAAAATAAATTAATTAAAAAAAAAAGATCAAGATGAGCTTAATGGAAATATGTATGCCTGTGAAGAACCTGAAAATATAATTGGGTTGCGTGGGTCGAATCATTTCGAGTGCTGGGTTGAAATAATTCAATCTCTTAATATGAATTTAGCGATTAGCTCACCATCTAGGTTTCGTTTTGGACAACTTTCTTACTGCTTTTAAAGTAGCTTTTTACTACAAAATTTTTTAGTTCAAAAAAGTTAGATACTAAAAAATTGTTTTAGAAAGTAGTAAGAAAACTGTCTCAAACAAATCCTTGCTTGCAAGCCAAGTATCAAGAACTCTCTTCACTCTGTTCTCTGTCTTCTTGTACTGATGAGGCTTTAGAGTGTAGTTCAATACTTGGATCGCAAACAAGTTTCATAGAATTGAAACATAAAATAAAAGAAACTTTAGCTATCTCTATATATAGTATATAGATCAATACCATGATAAATTTTAAAATAAGAATATTGTAAATGTTATCAAACTTTAGAAAGTAGACCACCAATCTTAGATATATAAAGAGGTTATGAGTGGAAGGGTATGAAACTTTGGTGGAGTTAGGAGGTGGATTTTAATCAACAGGATTGATGTTTGGCATTAGGGTTGAGAGGAACCATAAGGATGTATAGATGAGGAGTTTTAAGGTTTGAAAGGGAGTTAAGATTTTACTAAGGTTGGGAAATGAAGTTTGTAATTATATGGACTTCTAAGTTTAGTGGGTGATTAGGAGGTTGTAACATATTGTTTTACAATGGGAACTAAGAGGGTGGAAGTTGGTTAATATATGATTAAGATTTGAGAGTTGAAGATAATTATATGAACTCCTGACCACAAAAATTTCATATATTAATACATCCACAAAGCTATCCACCATAAACAGATGAATCTCCCAATTTCTTTTAATCAATCATTGCAAATTTAGAGCTATATGATATATATTTATAACTTTACAATGAAGCAAGGAAATACAAAATAAGCTAAATGGAATGGACAAGGGGTTTTATCAAGCCTATTTGGAAGAGGAAAATCAATATTTGATTTATTCTTTATGTTTCCTTGCACTACATGCAGGAAATTCAAGTATTACCGGCGGTCATATAGCCGTCGGTAATACCAGCGGTTTAGCCGGCCATTAGACCGCCGGTATTAACTGGCGGTGTTTAATAAATCGCAGCCAGAATTAGCGGCGGTTTAATAACCCCGGGCTATGGCGTCGGTTTAATTTTATATAGGCACCTTTGCCGGCGGCCAAAGCCGCCAGTTTTAAGGTTTTTTTTTTTTTTTTTTTTCCGGCGATATAAACCACCAAAAAACACCCTAAATTAACCCATCCTGAGCCTTCCTCCTCACTTCTTCACATTTATCTCTCGCTGCTGTAGACGCTCACTCTCTCTCATCTGGCCTCTCACGATCGCGCCTCCGAGTACTGTTCAGGAATAAGGCACCAACAACCTCCCTCCGGCCGAATATCTCACCGGAAATGAACCGCCGGAAATCATTTCCTACGCGGTTTATTCCGTCGGTTTTTGAATAGTCGGAAAGCCACTAGTTTTTTACAAAACCGACGGAAATCTATTATTAACCGCCAGAAAAAAAAAATGCCGGTAATGTCTGAATTTCTTGTAGTGTTGTAAAAGGAGGAGATGACCATAAAAATATGGAAGGAGAAAATACTTCGTTGAATTATGAATATCTTCTTAAGAATTTATAGAAAGGAGAGTCCGATAATAGCATTGGACACGAAACGATATTCCTCATGACAGTGCTCAATTTTGATAATCATAACAATGCGAGGAGTACAAGCAATGTGAGCACCTATGAAAATATTATAAAGAAAGAATTGACAATACTAATATGTCAATGAGAAATACACACTAGTCTCTTTATCAAATCTATCAAGTCTCTTTTTTTAATCATACAATACATCTGCGTGTTATTATTTTTTGAGTCAATAATTATAAATACTGCTGGATAAATATGAATATTCATATATTTGGTTGTAATAATGAGCAACATTCCTTCACATCTTATACTGATTTTTTTTTTTTACATTTAACAATATACGACATTGCCTCTTTAAAGTCTCATATATAAACATCGATGTATAACTATACCAACTTGAAATATCTTGAACTGTCGAGCTAAAAAAATCAATTATTATACCTACAATTTTGTTATTTTGCGTTTAAAGATATGATGATAATTCCTGAGAGGACATTTCAGGGGACCCTCTTGCATAAGAACTAGAGTGCTAGCAATACCACCAAGCCTTCTCATTATAAAAATCAATCACATAATCTCTATTTACATAAGATATTATCATATTCAACTTTAATTTTAGGTATGATCCAAAAAGTTTATTCTTAATTATATATTTGATAAATTATGATTGAGTTTGTCGACCGTGTTTGCATTTAACGTATAGAGAGCATGTTCTAAAACATGTCTTCAAATTTCAAGTTTAACTATGCCTATTTTTTAGCTTGCAACCTCTATGAATATTTTTATAGATGTAATATCATCATCAAACCATCATCGTTCTTAAGAACTTACACAACTTTTATGTGCATTGAAGAAATACTCAAATATTATTGTATTATATCAATAACCATTGAATTTGAGGTTCTTTCAAGCACTAACTCTTCTAATGTGGGAGTTCTTCATGTGTTCTATGTAGTAATAAACTTTACTTTTGTTTTTGTGGTGCACAAAGAACCATAAAATATGAGTGTATAGTAGTTATCTCTAATGAGCATCTTAATATAATAAAATATTAATGGAGCTATCATCATCTTCATCATATTATCCTCAACCCCACCTTCAACTATTTTCAAATCAATAAATGTTGCATGTGATTTACCTTGAATTATGCCCATTTAGTACCACTTTCTTTATCTATTTATGAATACGTACTAGATTGTCTTTAGCTATAATCTACGGTTGGATTCTTTGTTATAATTGTTAATACAAAAATGAGAGATTAGTGTTGAATGGATATAGAAGTTTCATTAAATAAGAATGTAATATCATATTTTGTAACTATTTTTATTGCGTAATTGATGTCAAATGCTTTGGTCCACCAAAATGATACTTCATATAGTTAGCATTAATTAATAATGATTTTTATCTATCTCCATAATTATGTGTAGAAGATTTATGAGATTATCGAGGATAAAAGTCATTTATTTTGTTTCTCAATAAATATCTAACTAATTTTACTGTCTTTTATTCATTATTCTTCATACAACACAAGAATATTGATGCTTGATTATGTTGTAGGAGTAGGATGAATTAAATATAATACAAGCAATATTAATTTTTGATTCAAATTTGAATATAATTAAGTTAAATATTCTTCAACCTCTTAGGTATCTTAACGGAATTAGGTTCACCATCAGTCGAAAATGGTTCAAACAAAGGTTGAACCTAGTTCGAATATCATTTGAATTAGGGTCAAGCCTCGTTAAAAAACTTTCAAACCTATGCAAACAATGTTCTAACCTCTTTTGACTCATCGTGAAACGTTTTTCACTGCCCTATTTAGTTATATATTTGTGTTTAAAACAAAAAGATCTCAATTTTTTTTCGTAAAATTTATTGAAGACCATCAATACAAATCATAAAACTCATTAAATAGTTATTTTAATCATATGTCCATAAATTTTAAACATTAAAAACACTTACCCACATGGTTGAAGCCATCTTAATTACTTTATTGAAGTTTATAACCATTAAAAAGAGAAGCATAATATTAAGTTAAGTGTTGCAAAGATGAGGATGCTTAGGTGGATGAGTGACTTTATACTCTTAGAGACCTGATAAAAAACGATCATATATGTGAAAAGGTCGGATTATAGCTTTAGTGGATGATAAGATTAGAGAGAGTCGCCTTAGATGGTTTGGTCACATAAAACGGTAACCCAATTAGTAGAGTAGATGTATTAGATTTGACTGATATTAAGAAATGTAGATGCATACCTAAAAAGACGTAGTTAGAAAATATTAGAAATAAAATTTTCTTATTAGATTTAAATGAGAATTTGACTCTTGACCAGACACAATGGAGAAAAAATGATTCATGTAATCGATCCTAGCAGTGGGATAAAGGCTTGATGTTGTTGTTGCCTTGTTGGTGTATTGAAATTTATAACCATCATCCTAAACTTTTTATGATATTATATAAAAAAATCTCATACTAAAAGAGCGAAGAATTAACATAACAAATGACTGAGAAAATATAAGAGTACTTTATAAGAAGTTAAATTAAGAATGTTATAACTCTCTCTCTCTCTCTATATATATATCTTGAGGGTATTTAGTTAAAAAATAAGTTTAAGATTTTTGATTGCCATAAAAAAAAGAATTTGTTCCAAATTGGTAGAATTTATTTTTCATTAAAAAAATGATCTAAAAATATTTTACACTGCAAATTTTTTTTAATTCATTTAAACATTAATATTTTCAAATTATTATATTTAAAATATTTAGAACTATTTTAGTTAAAACCAAACAGCCCAAAATAAAAATATGAAGAGAGAGCAGTGAAATAAATGCAATAAGAAGCAAAATTTACATTTTTAACCCCACTATTTAGTATAAAGTATGAACGGTAGCGAAAAAGCTGGTTTCATCTGTCGTCAAGGCGGGAAGTTGGAAATTGAGGTGGAGAGATGGAAAGCGAGGCAACGAAGAACGATTTGCAGGGCATTTTTGACGCCATTAAAGCATCAGAGGTGAGTTCGATTCCCTCGATGCTCGTTTTCTGCGTATTGCTTCCTTCTCTCTTTCTCTCTCTCACCTCCTTCTGTGTTTCCATCCACTTACGAGTTCTGCAAAGCTTGATACAAGCAGAAATCGTATCAGTGGAAAAAATAAATTGATGGTTGTAATTATTTATGGAGGCTCCATTATTTGGGCACACCGGGAGGAACCCGAGCTTCCTGGAGTTGGGTTTTCTTTTCCGGCTGAAGGTTAGGGTTTTAAAGGTTTAGCATTATATCGTTAAATATATGTAGGGGCTGTTTGTTTGCAAGATTTAGCTAGTAGTTAGGCTAAATCTTGCCGAACGGTTTTTTTGAGTTACATAAATCATTCCACTTAAAAAAAAAAATTATCATTTCCTCCCATTTTATGCGAAGTCCTGGATTTAGTAAATTTTGAGGGAGGGGAGTAGGATTTGATATATTTACGCCAGTTCTATCTATCTCTTTTTCTTCTTCATTTTTGATATATCATAAAAAAAATATCTTGACCGCGCACAAATCTCGAGGCAAAAATCAAGTTGGAAACTTCAAAAATTAAACCTGGGATCATCTGAACTCCGATTTCAACAAATTTACAGTCGAACTGATTGTCTCAGAAATACAAACCCTAAGACACCAAATTCGACTCAATCCTAGCTCAAATGGGTCCAAATCAAGGACCCGAAACGCTATTGGAAAGCTCGAACCACAATTTGGGTTACCAAACATTTTCCAAACATGACATGCTTATAGTCGAATCGAGCGGTTCGACGAAAAGAATCCAACGAGCCCAAGATCACCGAATTTCGATATCGTTAAGACCTTTAAATGTCTAATAAACGGTCCATTATCAAAGGATTCAATATCGGTCGTCCATTCGAACTACTCTACATTTATCCTTGATCCTCCTCCTATTTACAGGTCATGTCACTCTCAGAAAATTATAAATATATCTCTCATTTCTCTTGAGAAGGGGACCGGAACAAGAAGAAGAAGAGAATATGAGGATAAGAGGGAAGAAACTTCTCAACTACAACCGCTAGAATTTCGCCCGACTTTCCAAGTGACGCCGGAATTCTGCCCGACCTCCAAGTGACGTCGGAATTCTGCCCGACCTCCAAATGATGCCAGAATTCCTCCCGACCTCCAAATGACATCGGGGTTTCACTCGAACTCCAAGTGACGCTGGAGTTTTGCTCGAATACCATCTAACGTCGTAGTTCTCCTCGGCCGCCAACTGACGTCGGACTTCTACCCGACGCCGGACCTCCGCTTGTCACCAAGTTTCTACTCAACATCGGACTTCTGCCTGTTGTCAGACTTTCACCGGAAATCTATCTGATGATGGATTTTTGTTCATTGCTTGGTTTCTACCTGATGCCATCGCACACCAACTAAAGTCCTTTCGACCTTCGTCGCCCGTCGACTACGGTCCTTCTGACTTACGTCGCCCACCGACTACAGTCCTTCCGACCTCTGTCGCCTGCCGACTACGGTCCTCCTGACTTACGTCGCCCACCGACTACAGTCCTTCCGACCTCCGTCGCCAGACAACGGTCTTTATGACCACCATTGCCCGCCGACTATGATTCTTCTGACCTCCGTCACTAGACTATGGTCTTTCTTACCAAACAAACACGTCAACAATGATTCTTTGTATTCCTATCATGTAATGTACTCCATAAGATGTACATCAAGCTAAGGCCTTCCCCTAAAGAAGGGCCTCAGTTGTAATCGATTGCAAATAATAGTGGATTCATTCAAACTGGGCTAGGCCCCGTGGTTTTTCCCCCTTTTCAGGGGTTTTCCACGTAAGAATCTTGATGTCTCATAAATGCTAGACCCTCTTTAATATCTGATTGCGTGCCAGATTTTCGTACAACGCAAATACGCTAAATTTTATATTTCTCTACCGCCGCGAAGACTCCACGACGCAACAATTGTAATCCTAAATAATGAAAATATCTACAAAACAATTTATTTGGATTTACCACATAATATCCACCTTGCAAAATAATTTTCAGGATTGACAAGATTTACAAAATCCAACGTGTAGCCAAAACAACCTCGTAATTTGTTTTCTGTGGTGAATGCAAGTCTTACCCCATGAAAATATGTAATTTGTTTTGTTCTTTTGAACGGATGATTTGTTGAACTGACACGGCATAGATTTTATATATTTGTTTTGTTATCCATTAGTTGATATTTGTAGCTTTCCATAATTATAAAATTAGAATTGCATCAAAGCCCAAACCATCTCTTTTTGAGAGCACTAAAACAAGCAATATGATCAACATTGAAGAAAGAAAGCTACCTCCACATAATTATGATAAAGAACAAAAAAAAAAAAAAAACTATAGAGATTAGAACATCAAGATTTATATGATTTGGTCAAGAATAACCTATATCATGGAGTGCGGTGGTACAATTGATCCATAATAAAATTTATATGGAGAGGTACATGATAAGAGTAGTAAAAAATATATATACATACCCCAAATTCTAATATCTTAAAGCTAATAAGGAAAAGGGAGAAGAGATCTCATTAAAACTTTGGAAATTTTTTTCAAGAGTAAACCAAGAGGAAAGATGCATCCTACTAATCTCCTAAAACACGAAATAAATGAATCTTCCTCTTTATTTTGATTAATTTCTAACTGAAGAAGATGGAACAAACAATCCTTTATAATGAGTTGCCACTCTCTTCTCGTCAGTAAGCAGTTGTAACCTTAGGAGTTCCACTTGGGAGTTTGAGAAAGAGAGAAAGCACTGCAACCTTACTCTTGCCATCCCTCTTCGATTTGCTACCTTGTTCTACACAGCTTCTTTCAATCTCGTGAAAGCATCTGGTCAAGCAAGCATGAATAATGTTAGGATTTAAAATAGAATTATATAAAATTTAGAAATAATTTGGTATAAATCCTAAAAATTCATTTTCTTTACATTAAATCCTCCACAAAACAAGGAACAAAGTAGATAACCAAATCACCAAAGCCTGCTACCCACCTAAATCCTTGAAAGGGATGACTGCTTCACACGTCTAAGCATTTTCTGATCTTGCGAAGAAGAATTGCCTTGGTAACCATGTTGTTAGGATTGCACTATGTACACATCTTCTGGATTGAAACCTCACCACGTTCGACCTTCTCTTTGATGAAGTGGTACCAAGCATCAATATGCTTACTTCTTCTAGAATTGACTAAGTTTTGGCCAAGTGACAAGTACTCGAATTATCAATAGGATATGATCGATAGGGCACAAAACCCTCTATCAGCTAAGGCGGATTCAAATTTGTCCCCTTAGACAAACATTCACCCCATGTCTACAAGGTACTATTAGACGACACAACCCATGGTTATCGACAAGGATCTTTCTGTCTGGTTAGGTTGACTACCTCCTCCGACTAAGTAGACCAAGGAACACGATGGTCTGGGACGACGGAACCATGTGATCTTTATTGGGTAAATCATTCATTCCCCCACCATCCGCTTTAAGTATAAGATGATAAAATTTCCTAATTTTAAATATCAAACCTTCAAACACATAAACCCATGCTGCTACTATATGTCATATACATGTATCTCTATGTATATATTTGACGACTAGCATTAATCAAAAGTTCTCTCTTGCTTCTAGGAGGGGTAATTAACTATAGGGGCTTGTGCCTATAGTAAACTAGAACTTAGATCTAAAGCCCTCGCAAAATGAGGGTGAAATTTCTGGGTAGTCACTTATCTTCAAACCCAATCCGCTTTCTGAAAATTTACCTCGGAACCTATTCCGTTAAAACTCCCCCGAAAGCAGGGGAGGCCGGGGTGCGAATTTTTGGAGCCTACAAAGAGCTATTGGAATTGTTTCATCTTTTGAATAACAGGCATAATGCTTTGGAAAAGTCCAATTAGGCCTTAAAAACCCTAAATTTCTCTCGTAGAGGTTGTAAAACCTTAAACCCTTGAAATTGGGATCACTTTCTAACATTTTGTTGCACAGGATATTTTAAATGGAGTTCAGAAAATCTCCAACATTCATGTCTTGGATTCAGAAATCTGAAAATACAACCATGCAATGCCAAAGTGAATTTCTCTCTTTGTGGAAACTGGAGGTTTTATTTATTTAGTGATATAATCATTAAGTGGAAATGATGGGGACATCGACAGGAGATTCCGACGCATTTATCAGAGACGACACTGGAGATCGACGACCATGATGGAGAGCCTTTATTACTGATGATTATTTATTTGCATTTTATGTATTATGCATGTATTTTCAATTTTTCCATTTTTACCCTTATGGGTATCTGTTTGCTTTTGTAGCCCAAGGGACATATTAGACTTTTGTATTTGTTGTCATGTGGAGCCTATATATATGGCTCTTGTACCTTGTATGAGAAATTATTGATGAATGAAAATTTTCTACTCTTATGTTCCCTTTGTGAGTTCTTGAAGATCTCTTGGTGAGTTCTTTGTTTGAGATCTCTTTGTGAGTTCTCTAGGTAATTATAATCATAGTTCTTCTCCTCCTCCATAAACTACCACAAGCAAAGTCCAAGAGTTGGAAGAAGTCGAATCCTCCATTGTTGCCACCACCTTTGGACCCCAACCCGTCGGCCACCCTAGCTCCACCCGCCGACCACCTTGCCGCCGGCTCCTCCCCTCCCCATCCTCTCACCACCACTCTCTCCCTTAGCCTCTTCGAAATTTGAATTCCAAATTCAAAATCTTTCCAAATTAGGAAGTTCCAATTTAGGAAAGTTTTAAATTTTTGAATTCAATTTCAATTCAAATGGAATTGGATTCATGAGAAAAATTCTTTCCTAGCCATCATCTTAATTTGGAAACCCCCATCCTCTTTCTCCAAACTCCTCCCCAGCTCCTTGATGCTGCCGACCCCCTCTTTGGGCTTCCCATTAATTGCCCAATTAATCCTCCTCCCTATTTTGAAATTCAACTTTAAGTTCAAAATAATTCCCTCCAATTTCACTTAAAACTGAAATTTATTTCAGTTTTCTACACAACACTCCTTCTCCCTCTCCCCTTCATGCCGCCGGTTCCCCCTTGCATGGCAAATTTACTCTCTTGCCTAATTAACCCTCCACCCTCATTAATTTTGAATTTGAAATTCAAAACTAATCCCTCCAAAACCACCTAAATCTGAAATTAATTTCAGATTTACTAAAACTCCTCATGTAATTCCTTAGCCTAGCCAATCCCTCTCATCCCAAGCTCCAAAACCCGCCGACCCCCTCTCCCTCCCATCATTGAGTTTCTTTGGTGACCGCTCGTCTTGAAGTCCATGCCGTATGGCAGATCCCGCCGTTGACCACGGACTCTTCTACGACATCTACGGAAACAACCACGTCCTAAGATCTCCTTTCTTTGACTTTGGATTTGGCTTCGACAATACCGTCGAGGAATACTTGGATCGGATCCTTCCAACACCAGTGGATGCCGTCGACGACCAATTTTCAGACTACACGCGGATCATCAAAGGTCATCCTCCTGTGCCACCTCCACCTCCGAGTTCCTTCTCAACAACGACGTTCCTTGGCTCCTCCCTCCTCGTGGCAACCTCATTTCTAGTGTGGACGCTCTTCCGCCGCTCAACCTAGTTTCGTAGGAAAGAGAGAGTAAGACCTCAAGGTGAACAACTCATTATTAATCGTTGGATTCAAGTTATAAGCTTTTAACGTTACTATTTCCTTTGTATTTGATTAAATCGCTTAGTTAATCTCATTGTAATTCTTTGCCTAAGCAAGTTGAACTCTACGAATTCTTGTAGCCGATTTTGACTTGATGCATGATTCTATAAATGGTTAAGCTATTATTAAATCTTCTTTTTTAATCTTGTGTAACTCAACCATGCATCACATCAGGAAAAGTATTTATAATCTGTAAAAAAGAAATCCTTAGAATTTCCTGTTTTTATTAAGATCACAGCTTTTTAAACTGTTAATAGCTCGTTCTTTTGTTGCAGGATCTTGATAATCGAATTTCACTTGTTAACCAAATTGGGGATTCCTATCAACTGGAGACACCGGATGTAGTTCTTTTAATAAATTTGTTGATCGTATCCATCCCTTTCAGTTTAATGGCTCATCCATTTTTTAAAAATTGGTCCTTCAAATTATTATTTTTCCGTAGAAGCTTGTGCCAGAATTCAAAGTCATTATCATTGCTACTTTGATTTCTTGCATTAGATGTTAAAGATAGTAAGGCGTTGACAATGAACTTCTGTTGTTCTAAAGAACTTGGTAGGATCTTTTTCCATTAAACATGGTCTGACAAGTGTGCTTAGTGTACTTCTTAATGGATGCATAGATTTCCTGGCGTTATTTAGCATTCGTTCTGTATGAGGAAAACCGTGTATTTGCAAAATGGAAGCTAACAATTGCAGCAGAAATAGTTCCCCCTAGTCTTTTTTTCCTTTGAATTTGAAGTAATTCTATTGTTGGACACATTCTGTATAGATTGTCAAGGTTTGTTGCCTTAACAACAACATGGACGCTTTGGGAGGAGTCCGCTTGCTCTGGCGTGTCAAGATGCATGTTACATAAAACGCTTTTGCATACAGCGGCAAAGTACTTGGAATCTGATATCATAAACTATCTCAGTCCGTTTCTCATTCTTGGAACAAAGGTAATTTTTCTGTAACTTCTAATTATATTTGATATCACCCATACTTATCTTACGTGTTTTGTGAACTACTAAGGAATAAGGATGCTCTAACATCCTTAGAATCATCCTTAGGCAAGCATGTGGTGCAGAAATCATTTCCAGGTGACTCTTACATCAGTGGAAGAGTTCCATGAGGAACAACATAAAAGCCTATTATATCAGGTATGAAGCAATGTAATTGCATATGATCATGCTATTTCGTTTGCTTAAACTGTTATATTTATCATTGCGGAATTCCTGTTTTCTCATCTCATCCATCCAAACGTGTATTTTTGTTATGCTGCTTTCGATATGTTAATTTGTAATTTCCAATATGTATGAAGTTTTATTTATCATGTTCTTTCGTATCATTTACACAATTCACTTACTCTTAACTTTGTCTATATTGAAAAATATTTTCTTATATGTGTTTTTCTTTTCAATATATTTTTCTTATCTTTCAACTATCAAATCTTTTTCTGGCATTACTTCTCTTAGTTCTCTATAGTAAATAATTCTTCTTTAAAATACTAATGGCGCTTACTCGATATTAACCTTCTGTTCAGTTTTTTTTTTCATTTATACAGAACAGAGTGAGTTAAAGGTTTGATGCCCTGACGATTTTCCTACTTTGTCTAATCATTCTTGTTCAAGTATATATATCTTGGGGTCCAATCAATGTTTCTTTTACTTTATATTGTGTTTTTTTTTTTTCACTTACATGCATCTAGGATTGTTGCATGTTGAAACATTCACTGCATTAGAGAGAGTTTATCTTGTTAGAATTGAATGAAAATTCACACACACTAATAAGATACAAGCAGCTCATATGAAACATGAGATTTCTCACATAAAAAACTATGAATGGGAAAAAATAATCGGACTTGAATAAGTTGAAATGGTTACACTAGTGAATTTATATTACAAAAGATGTCCTTCCCCATAGTTAGAGAAGTTATCAATATCATGTAATAAAACATGAAACATGGAAGATGACTTTCGTGATGGGACTCAGAAGAGCATTGAGATGTCGGAATTATTATCAAAAGATGATTAATGGTTTGCTTTATCTTTCTCCTTATAAGAAAGAGGATCGACGACTAAGAGACAAACATGGACCTTGGTTGCAATGACTGGCATTGATAATGATGGTGATCTTGGGTAATTGTCTAGGTGGCAACGTTGGGCATTGACTTATGGATAAAATCAATAAAGTTCTAATTTTTCCTATCTTTGATAGAGTTATAAAGAAATCCTAAATCATCATTACCTTTAGACATCTTGGCGGTGGTGGGGATTGACGTTAGTGGCAATGGTGTACATTAATTAGTGTTGATGGTGATGGTGATGGTGGGTGTCGACTTTGGTCATTATGTTGAAAATCGACATTGGTGAAGATGAGGGGAGTCATCGTTGTTAGGGTAAGCATGCATTAACACTGTTGGTGACTATGGGTGCACTGTTATTGGCGACTGTGATCATCAATGGGCGCTATTATTATTCGTGATGAAGGGACTAATTCTTTTTGGCTACAATGAAAATCTATGATGTTGGCGATGATGGGCATTGGCCTTGTTGGTGATGGTGGACATCATTCTTATTATTAATGATGCCATTTAGCCTTGTTGGCGTCAACATGCTTCATCATTGTGATGTTGGGTGTTAGCCTTATTGGTGATGATGGGTATTAGTGTTATTAATGATGGTGAGTGCCACCTTTGTGGCAGCAATGGGCATTTGCTTTGGTATTGCTAGCGGGTAGTTGCAGTGTTGTCGTTGACGGACGTTGGCCTTATTGGCGATGACAGACATTAATGTTAGTGTCAACGGTGGGAGCTAATGAATAATGACAAGTGTCAGCATTAGTGTTTATGACAAGTGTCTGGATTGTAACGATTGTTGATGAGAGTGGGCATTAGCTTTTATGGTGACGACATGTATTGGTGTTGGTTTCGAGACGATGACATGTCTTGTTGGCTAAGGCGAGCATTAGGCTTATTTACAATAGTGTGCATCACCATTATTGGTGGTGGTAGGCATTTACAAAAAGTGTTATCTCTATTGGTGATGATGGGTGTTTGTGCATGTGATAGCGACAATCATTGACATTGTTAACAAGGATGAGCATTATGAGTGATGACATTCTGATGGATAAGTGATTTCAAATTATATTTATCAGATGGGGCCATAATCAGAAAAAAAAAAGAATAATCTTTTGTTATCACAGGGTTTCAAGCAATACGATTTAAATGATATTTACTAAATGTTTCATTCTTTATTTTAATGCTATATGCATTTGTACTTTTGTGCTTTTCTTTGTACTTTGACAATTCTAAGTAATTTCCCTTATTGTTCTCATATAGTTTTATTATTATAATATTTTGCTAAAAGAAAGATAATAGGAAAGTTGAGAGAGAAAAGTGTTACACCTCACGATACCCTTTAACAGTAACATGGAGTGTCACATAAATGAACGTAACATTATATATTTATCTTTTATCATTCCTCACACAGATTCACACTGCAGTCAAAAGCAGGGAATTGGTAGTAGAAACTTCGGGCTGTTAAAGTGAAACTCCACGCCACCGGATCTACAACCTTTGTACGAGCAAACAGAAGGCGTAAACAAAGTTTGAAATAAAGCCCCGTGCATCTGGCAGCAATAGCCACCTATGCAGCCGGACACCCCCTTGCACTGCATACAAACATTATAAAATCCCCCTCACGTATGCATTGCACTTGCATGATGATATATCATATATGCATGTATCATAACTTGTAGAATGCATTATACATGCATATCACTCGACATTGTTACTGCATTCCAAATATAACTTCCTGGCATTGTTATTGCATTTAAAAAAAAAAAAAACATCATCATGCATTTAAAATAAGCAGAGGGTTTCACTCTAGTATGCCATATGACACTGCAATTGTATTTCAAAAATCATATCATGCATATATATGTTGCACCATATGAAATACATCCAATGACATATACCTATGTAGGCTCTAGTGAGCGTGTTGTACTTGTAGGTACGCACGTGACCCCTGAGAATGTTGCGCAGGTTAAAGAAATAAATTTGGATTTGAAATCGATCTTCTGTTAGCGACTAGACAGAGTCGACAATGTTCAATCAATAAAACAAAATGTTTATAAATTTTTCGATGATGCTTGTGTTGAATGTAAATTTCAACCGGAGGGGATCAAACATTCAAAATGCCCTCAAACGCCCATAAAATCCAAAATCCAAAAAATTCTAAAGTTCAAGATATTTAAAATTAAAATTAAATCATCAAATACTTAAAGAAAATGCACATCAACCCTCCGCAACAGTTTGCTGAGGTGGAAAAATTCAAAAATAACTTTAGCTCACAAAGTGCTAATGTCTCGTCGAGAATATCACTAAGATCAATTCTCAATCTGTCTCTTGCCAGTAAGGACGTGACACGTGTCCTCTAACCGGTGGTTTCACTGTAATGGCACCACAACAATGATTTCTCTGCTAAATGGCACCACAGGTAAACGGTTATAATCGAGACCCTCTGAACCAGGTGGTTCACCGCGAAATGACACCACTATATTACAGTCATGGTCAGCGCCCGTATGGTCCCCAATTGTGTTAAATCGTTGAGCAATGAATCAATATGATATAATTGATAGGACACAAAGCCCTCTGTTAGCTAAGGTGGATTCAAATTTGTCCCTTTAGATAAACATCAAACCCAGGTCTACAACGTACCCTTGGACGAAGTAACCCATGATTGCTGACAAGGATCTTTCTGTCAAGTTAGGTCGCTACCTTCTCTGATTAAGTAGACCACGATGGCCCGGGACGACAAAACCATGAGATCTTGATTGGGCTCATCATCATTCCCCCACCATTCGCTTTAACTGCAAGATGATACAATTTTAAATATTAATTCTCCAACCATTCCAAATACCCATGCTGCTACTATATGCTAGATAACACGTATCTCTACGTATCTGATTGATGAATAGCCTTTATCGAAAGTTCTCTCTCGTTATCGGGAGGGGTAATTAACTATAGGGGCGCCTATAGGAAACTAGAACTCAAATCATAAAGTCCTCGCAAAATGAGGACGAAATCTATGGGTAGTGTCTTATCTACAAACCCATCTGCCTTCCCAAAATTTACCTAGGAACTTAAATCCGTTAAAACTCTCCCGAAAAAGCAACGCCGGGGCTGAATTTTCGGAGACCACAAAGTTATTTAAAATAATTTGTGCAAAAATTTAACAACTCAAGTAGTTTTGAAAAGAATGATTTTAGTGTGAAGATTTATAAAACCAACTCATATAGTTAGGATAAGGTTAAGGATAATTTTGATGACATTGGCTGTTGTAAGATTAGAGAGAGTCGCCTTCCGATGACCCGATTAAATAAGTAGAGGTACTAGATTTGACTTATGTTAAGAGGTAGGGGTACTTAAAAAGACTTGGTTAGAAAATATTAGAAATGATCTTTCTTTATTAGATTTAACCGAAAATTTGACTTTTAACATGACACAATGGAGAAAAAGGATTCATGCAGCCGACCCATGTAGTGGGACAAAGGCTTGATGTTGTTGTTGTTGTGGCTGTTGTAAGATTTATATTATTAATTAATTCTTTGTTCTTGGAAAGTTTGCCTACCTTATGCAGAATAACACTCTGGTGATTGTTTGACTAATTTATATATTGTTTTGGCAGCTAATCCTGGACTCTTTGGGTTTCTCTTCCGCTGTTATTTCAACTCTGATAAAATCTCCTCCTTTTGGGGAGAAGGTGGATGTGCTTATCGTTGAGAACTTCATCTTTGAAATATTAAGCTTAACAAAGGCTTTGATTCTTGAGTTGAAGGTACTGATCTTGAACAACTTAGTGTAGGTACATATCATATATAGCTGGTTGCATCTGTGTAAAAACTTGGGTAAGGAACAAATATGCACAAAAAGTTGGCTTGAAAGGAAAATTAAAACATTCATCGCAGTTGCTACTAGAATAGAGTAGGTACATATATAGCTAAACTTGAAATGTTATAGAGACACGTTAAGTAAACATGGTCTCGGTCTAAGTTTAACTTGTATAGTATTGAGTATTGACCTGTATTTGGTGAATCCTTCTGCATATACAGTTTCATGGTTTCATTTGAAGGTTGTATTATGCCTATTTCCAATCATACCCTTCTGCTACACAAAATACGCTTATCATATTCATGATTCCCATGGGCTCTAGTAGGGCTCCTTTTTCATTTATGGTAAATTACCCAGCTCTTTGTAACATCTATAGTAATGTGTCACCTGACCAGTAGTGCATCAGTGTCTGGAACATGCTATCCTCTTGTCTTGCTATCACGTTTGAACCCAATAATAGTTGACTTGATCTTATCAAATTCTTTTTCTTTGAAAAGGCATGATTGACCTTCATATTATGCAGAGGATTGATATAATTGCTTCAGAAGCTCTTAAACTGGGACAAGTTGTTCTGGATGCTGCAGTAAAGCTCTGCAGAGCATATTATCAGGCTCTTAGATGCAAGGACACTGGGGTCCATGTTCGCAGAAACGAAGCATCGGTTACTGGCAAAGTAGAGGATTATGCCTGTCATTTCACCAGCATAACAGTCTGTACTATTGAAAACTTATTTGATATTGGAACCTTCGCTGCTTCCGGTGGCGGGACTTTTGTGACTATTCTAAACATTTCCTGGAAAGGTGTTGTATGTTTATTGCAACTGGATAAAGGTGTCTTGTCTGAAAAAGTAAATGTGGAAAAAATTATTCTAACTCTAATCTCATTGACTGTTGAGTCCTTGAGGTATTCTGCTGAAGCATGGTCAGCATCAAGCTCGGTCACCGCTACCTTAACTGAGGCAAAACGAACATTTCTACCAATAAAGTTTTATTTAATTAATTCTGTCCGGATCTCTTCTGAATATCCATGTAATGCCATGAATATATGCAGGGAAGTAGTGAGATGCGTGGTGTTGATCTCATCTCTATGTATTATTTTAAGTAAAGAAATCCATCTCAAAGCTGCTACTGAGGCAATGGCAGAATTACTGGAACCGACATCCTTTCTTTTACTGCATACGCTACTAAACTCAGCTGAGGTGAAATTTGAGTCCAAGTTGCAGATTCTGGAGTGGCTATTTCCACATGAAATAAATTCTTTCATGTTTGATCAGGATAAGGATATTTATACTGCTGCAGCTACCTTGGACAGTGTTTTTGATGTAAGTTGTGATGCTTTGCCAGGAGCTGAATCTCTACTGCTAGGAAAAGTTTTCTTGTCTCTGAATCTTCTCAAAGTCTCTTCATCATTGAGAGAAGAAATAATATTAGAAATCTCAAGAAAGCTTGATAATCTTATGTCTGTTTTGACAAATGCAGATGTATTCTCTTCTGTTCTTGGTCTGCAAATACCTGTATTTAATGCCTTGGGACCTTCCACTGGGGTAGTTTGGCAACCAATGTACTCCTTTGTCTTAAGTGCTCTTAAAACCTTCATGATTGTGGCAACTTCTTCATGCCTCGTATGGATGGAGATTGAAACTTTTCTACTCCAGAATCTTTTTCATCCCCACTTTCTTTGTTTGGAGATTGTCAAGGAGCTTCTGTGCTTTCTTATACGTCACGCTGAAAATGACATGGTCAACCAAACTTTTGAAAAATTGTGTCTGTTGCTGAAGACCGTTGCCTCATCTCAGCCTTCTCTTACACCAGCATCTCCTCTAAGGAAGCTGGCCAGATCAATATCCTACCTTCTTCCTTATGCAACGCCTGCCTGTATAGATCAAGTTTATACCACCGTACTTAGTGAGGAAAAATCTGATTTGTCATCTCTCATGTATATGGCACTATTGATGGAGGGATTCCCATTAGATTCATTATCCGACAAAGTTAAAATAGTTGCCACTAGAAAGATTATTTCTACTTTTGTTAGCTTTATAGAGAACAACTCCAAGGAGTTTGAACTGGGTGCTTCTGCTTCCCTATCTTGCAATTCTGGTTTGCTCGGGTTGCCTGTTCATGCCCTTTCATCTGCTTTATGTTCACGGTAAGAAACTTGATACTTAAAAGAAGTTATGCCATGCTATAAATTCATTTAGGGGTGTCAATATTTGGCATGACCCGAAAATCTGACTCGAATTTGACTCGAAAATTTTGAGTTAGGGTCAACCCAAACCCGAAACGGGTCGGGTTTGAGTTCAACAATTCTACCCATTTCAAAAATTGGGTCGGGTTCAGGTTGACCATTTGACCTGAAATTGACACAAAATTGACCCGGCAACCCGAGATTGACCCGTTTGACCCTAAAAGCGGAGATTGACCCGGACCTAAAGCGAGTCGGGTTTGGATCCGGAAAATGACCCATTTTTCCGGGTTCGGGTTGACCCGAATAGTGCTGGGTCAGTTTCGGGTTCGACGCGAACCTGACCTGTGACCCGAAATTGACACTCCTAAATTCATTTCATCATGCGTAAATTTCATTTCACATTGCACTGCTCTTTATGTTGCAGAAATATTGAAAGTTCAGATGCTATTAATGAAAAAGTCATCTCCCAGCTCCTGAAGTTCACCATTACTGTGATTCAAACGTATAGAAATGCTGGAGAAGGGATGAAAGACCAATATGCTGAACTACTTGGTGCACTATTAGAAGTAATCTCAAATGCAAAACATCTCTATAGATATGTTGAAATCAGAGAAATTATTTTGGAGCTGCAAAAATTATTTGTGGAACCTGATGCTCCATTATCTAGATGCCAACCTTATCTAGCTACATTCCTGTCTAGTCTATGTCATATTCAAATTGCAGAATATGTTGAAAACACACTTACTGCTGCAATTTGGGACCTGTACCATTTGCTGCTTAGAGATAGACACTGGGCATTTGTTCATTTGGCTATTGCTGCATTTGGACACTTCGCTGCTCGTACTTCCTGCACACAACTTTGGAGATTTGTTCCCTCTAATGCAGCACTTTCGTTTGATTCTGCTACTGGGAGCGAGGCAAATTATGACAGTTTCATGAATGAGCTAAAAGGATTTCTTGAGAAAGAAGGGGCTTTATGTGAGTCTTCTCCATGTAAAGAACAGCTAAGTTTTCTCATCAAGGAAGGCATTGCTCTTAAAAGGCTAACCAAGACATTAACTACCATGCAAGAGGTCCCAGTTATACAATCTGTAGAAATCAATGGTCATAGAAAATGTGAGAGGAAAAAGAGAAGAAAGCTTCCTGATGGAATTTGTGAAGGAATGGATTTGCTGCAGAATGGTTTGAAGGCTATGAACAATGTTCTTTCCCAACCTGACTCTGCGGATCTCAAGGAAGAATTTTCTGTGCATATTTCATGCCTTAACGACGTACTTTCTCACCTGGTCAGTCTATATAATGCCCATCTTTAATGTATAGCATTTTGTCGCTAGTTCAAAATTTTAGGTTTCTGGCTTTCTGCATTACCTATTTTTGCAAGACGACTAGCGTTCTGCTTGCAGTTGTTCCTTATGAAAGCCAACGTTACTCAAAAGCTTTTAATTGTTTACTCCTTGGTAAAGTTTGAGCAAAATTTCCATTTCTGATAATCAACTTTCTACTTAGCTCATTTTGGTCTGTTGGTTTGGAGTTTTGACTATCAACTAAGAGGTATTGGATTTAAGTCTTGCGTATCTGATGTGCGTGTGAGTTTATCTTAATTGACCTAAATGTCCCTCATTTATACAAATCTGTTACCCTTCACCATTCCCAATGTGATGGATTGTTAAATTTGAACTAAATTAATCTATGATTTGCTAACATACAAAATTCACTATGATCCATAATCTTAAATGCCCAAACATACATAAAAAGACTCAAAATATAACTTGACATAAAGGCTAGATAACAGAATGGTCAAGCAAACGAAAATACTTAAAAAAAAAATAAAAAAAAAAACAAATAAAAAAGCAAAAGAAAATACTAAAAAGAATTTGGGCATAAGATCTTGGTGGATGATGAACATTGATAATTTATTGGAGTTAGGTAGAGGGTAACAATTATTATCGATTTCGATCAATGATGGTCATGGAATGATAGATGGTAATGAAAATTCGTGGTATTAGGTAGTAGGTGATAATGGGTGGCGATGTTATATGGTTGTTTATTTTGGACAGTAATTGATGACATGACAGTAGTCTATAATGTTCTAAGAGTTATAAATTTTCACTCAAAATCCTCTCATGTATGTGTAGAAACATGATATATTTATTAATTTTAATAGGAGGCTTTTTTTCCTAATTATGCAATATTTTTTGTATAAGCTCATTGTAATTTGCTCTGTTTGTTTAAAATGATATTTTTAAATTGAAAAATTTACATACATACCACTTTATAACATCCTATTTACATATATAACACCTAAAACTTTAATATTACATACATACCATCATATATTATTTTAATATCAAACATGCCACTCATATTTCCTTCCTACCACTCATATATTTCATTTCTATCACTCATATTTGATATAAAAATGAATTATGGGTGATATATATGTAATATTAAATTTTTAGGTGTTAAATATGTAGAATAGTATAGAGTGGTATGTATGTAAATATCCCTAAATTGAGAAAATTTTGTAAATTACAATAACTAAGCCTGACATATACTAAATTGGTCAAACTTTAGTACTATTATTCAATTCTTGGCAGAGTTTTATTATGAAATTGTGATTGTTCTACAAGTATTACATTAGGCATTAAAAATTTTAAAATTTTCTTTATTTATTTAGGCCATTATTATTTTCTTATTGACTCATTTATCATCATCATCAATAAGAAATAATAGCCCAAGTCATGCTATTCCTATAATTAGCTTTGATAAACACTAATTAGATTTTGTGGATGTTTGGTTTGCAAAAAAAAAAAAAAACAAAGTAAAAAAAGTGTAATATATTTGAAATATTTTTGTATTGTTTTGATGAATGTTAAATAAATATATGTAATTTTTTTAAATTTGATTTAAAGTAAAATAAGTAAAAATAATATAAAGCCTAATGATAATGGTGGCTAATGGTTGGTGACATTGTATTTAAAAATCGATCAAATTTAATTATTTTAAAATACATTAAAATTGAACTAGAATGTGAATTTCCAATACTTAAATATTTTAATTTTTATTTCTTTTACTTCATACCAAACATCAATTATTTCAAATCTTTCGGTTTGAAATATTTTATACTTATTTTACTTCGTACCAAACAACCCCTTAATTTTGATGAATGCAAAGGTAAAGCTAAAGAAGAGGCACATGGGGGCACATGCTCCCATTAAAATTTAATATATCTTTATATATAATAAATATATATCACTATGTCATGTTATTATATATTTTTAACATTAAGTATTTAATTTGGTGATGAATGATTTATTTAGAAGCACACACACACACACATATATATATATTAAAAATAGTTGAAAGCACACAAAATTAAATATGAAAATTAGTGAAACAATCAAAATTACTTAAATAAAAAATTACAATGAGATGATATTCGAAATTGAAATAAAAAGAGTTTTGAAGCCATAGGGGGTTACATCACATCCTTTGATATTGCATAATTAGAAAATAATGTTTGAAATATTTTAAATTAAATGAGCATATAAAACATCTCTTGTTCTTTAATATGATGGCCAACATGTCTTGATGGCCCCACAACTTAAAGCATTATTTGAAATTTTATTTATTTAAAAAAAAAATATAAATTTGATTAGTATTTTATAGCCATCGCTATCGTCTTCACTATTCTTTGCCTTGCCACCACCGCATGCTACCATCTTCATTACCATTCGTTGCTACTGACTGACCTGTTGTCATTGCTACCACCACCACTATGTCGCCCCCACCACTCTTGATTGTTATTGCAGCCACCATCTGTTGCCATCACCATCATCATTATGTTGACGATTTATGTTAAATTCAAAAATGTAAAAATAAGTTATATTTAATATATATAAATTTTTTTATTATATATTAAAATACAATAAATAAAAATTAATAATACAAAATGATCTCAATGATCCCTAAAACCTTTGAGACATTTGAAATATTTTGAATTAATTGAGCAATTTAAAACATCTCTTGTTATTTAATATGACGACCGACAAGTTATCGATGACCCCACGACAAAGAAAAACTAGATAGATAATCTAACACATAAATTAAAGCAAAAGAAATATGGAGCATATAATGTCATTATTGATGGAACCAAAGAGTGATTGAGTGGTCCTCCTTTTAAAATTGTGTTAATTTTTTTTAATGATTATATATAATTTAAAAAATTTATTCAAAAATTTCAAATATAAGTATATGTGTAATATATAAGTTTTATCATTTTAAAGTGATAGCCAACATATTGTGGATGGCCCCACACCTAAGAAAGCTAGGTAGGGTTGTCTATTTTTATTTTCCTTCATCAACACAAAAATTAAAGTAGAAGGAATATGGAGCTCAACTTGTTATTGATGACGGAATCAAAGAGTGGTTGAGCGACCCTCATTATTATATGTACCACACAATTCTGATATATTTACATATCTAACATCTAAATTTTAATATTTACTTACATAAAATTTAAATCTTTAAATATAAATATCAAAATTTACGTGTTAAATATATAAATGTATAAGAACTATGTGATATGTATGTAAATTTTCTATTCTTTTAATTTATTATAATTTTTTCATAATTATAATATATATATATATAATATATAATAATATATATATAATATATATATATATATATATATATTATATATAATATATATAAATATACTAGTGTCATCCTCTTTAAATTTTAATAAATTCTTTTGTTCCCACACCTTTAAGACTCTATTAGTAATCTTAATTATATATAGTTAATTTAAAATAAATAAATAATTATATTAATTATAAATAAATAAATGTGAAGCATAAAGAGGCTAAAAACATAGATCTAATGTTAACCCAACACATGCATAAAAAGACCAAAAGAGTTGCCAAAAAAGAGAATCCAAAGCAAGAGCTCCTGTCATATCTTCAAAAGAGAATCTATCATGAGTCCAATAGGCCAATAGGGGAGACCCAAAGTCCTAAAATTCTTAGGGTTTAGGGGAGACCCAAAGGCCAATGTGTCTTAAAGATATAATTTTAATACAAGGAGAGATGAGGAAGACGAGGTGGGGATGGTGATAAGGATAGCGAGGTGCAAGTCAAAAATGATTTGATACCCCAAAAATGGTGATATAAATATCCACTTTGGAAGAGATTATTTTGTGCGGAAGCCGAACACAGTTCACCGTCTGGATACCAACCAGAATGCACCACATCAGCAATATCAAGCATTATCAAGCTAGGTACCAAGTAGGAGGTGACGTGATGCATTTTGATTGGTCAACAGACAACGATCGACGTCCGCACATAATAATTTCACAAACTCTTTGGTGATGGTGGTTAACAAGTGGTCAAATAGGGTCAACATATGTTAATTTGGGCTAGGCTAAATGATGGAAGGGTTAAGCTAGTTCATTATTTAAGATCATAAACCAAGTACTATATAACACAAGGCATCTTATAGGGCCCAAAATATTGGAAATGGCCTTACATCATAAAAGCACAAAATACATTATATATGACATGACTTAAGCTTCATTTGGTATGACTTTTTACCGCTTTCTAAAGTAATATTTTAGTACAATAATTTATTGAACTAGACAACTGCTTTAGAAACCATTAAGAAAGCCGCCTCAAACGAAACCTTAATATCCTAATAAAACAAGAGAAAAGAAAAAAAATCAACAAACACTTAATTCTACGGGAAAAGAAAAAGAAACTAATATGTCGAAAAAAAGGTCTGAGAGGAGAGTGATTGCACACACACAATAGAACCATAAACCCTAATTACATGAATATAAATACGAGAGTAAAAATAATAAAGTGCCCTCGTTGGGATCAATGATGCTCCAAGAGTAGGCGCACGGCAAGCATTTCGGCTCGACCACAACCAAAATTGAGTCACAAGCTCTAATAATAGACCAGGACTTGCTTTACTTCACAAGAAAAATAGTTAAGACAAACTATAAAATTCATACTAGCTTTAACCCAAGTAAAAAACAAATAAAAAAATAACAAATGCAAAGCTGCCTAGTAAAAGTTAGATGACAAAACTCCATAATTCACAAAATAACTTCATATATATATACTGAACTGTCACAAGGTTGCCTAAGAAAAAGGTCTTAAATGGCCATTGGAAAAAGCCTTAGATCACCCTGAGTTCAGAGTCCTGCGCCTTAAGATTCCTGCTGGGTCTTTAACTTGTACTCCTAGTTAAAATTTCACTGTGCAGAAAAAAGTTTATTAAATGATAGGAAAACAGGACCTAAACTTAGGAAGAAGACAGAAGGTGAAATATTTTCTCAAGTAAACTAATGCAGTAATGTACATATTACTTCAGCTACTGCTACTCCTACGGCTTCGTTTGAGACGGCTTTTTTATTGCATCTTAAAACGAAGATTCCGCTTTAAGAAGCAATAAGAAAGCCGTCCCAAACGTGTACTAAAACTCAGTTTTAAGAAGCAATAAAAAACTGTCCCTAATGAAGCCCAAATCCCTCTATGAATCATAGATGAAATTAAGGATATGTCATGACATGCATTTGTGTCTTCATAATCCTCATTAATACCATCATAATTACTTAAAATAAATTTTATTCTAGTTTATTGATTTCTATTGAATGCTATATCTGAGATATCTGCTGCAGGAGAAATATCTGTGTTCCAACAAAATCAAAGCCATTTGATAGGGAATTGAAATATATTAGGTGGATTAGTGGTTAATTATAGGTAGTTTGAGTTGTAATAGGTTTAATGTGCAGCTAAATGGTTTTTGCAAGTTTTTTTTTTTTATTTTGCAAGTCTTTAAATACTCATCTTTGGTAGTATTAGGTATGAAAATAAAATGAACTAATCCCCCTTGTCATGAGATTCTCCTCTTCCTTCTTGTCAACGATGCATTTTTGGAGTTGTTATCAAATTTAAATTGTTGGTTTCCACTATACTCAACTAGGTCACACAATAGGTTTGTATTAGGCTTTGTTTGGAATAGCTTTTAACCACTATTCTTTTGCTGCTTACAAGAAAGCAGTAGGAAAGCTGTCTCAAATGAAGCCTTAATTGGTGCTCTTATTAAGCTTCATTGTCACAAAGTACCTTGTCTCTCATCCAAAAACCAAAAAAGAATAAAATTTTCAGGACAACCAACCACCTTGAACAGTTCACCGTCTACGACAAAGACAACCTTCGATACATTTGTTCATAATCCGAATTCGCAAGATCCATCATCATCTACATCATTCGCAACTCCTTACCCCAATGTTCTTTTAGATTCAAGCTTTGAGCTGACCCTCAGAGCTTCGTCTTACTTGTCGCTGCTAATCTCCACTTGGTCTCTTAATTGGTGCTCTTATTAAGCTTCATTGTCACAAAGTACCTTGTCTCTCATGCAAAAACCGAAAAAGAATTAAAATTTTCAGGTCAACCAACCACCTTAAACGGGTCACCGTCTTCGACAAAGGCAACCTTTGATACATTTGTTCATAATCCGAATCGCAAGATCCGTCATCATCTACATCATTCCCAACTCCCTACCTTGATTTTTTTAAGATTCAAGCTTTGAGATGACCCTCAGACCTTCGGCTTATTTGTTGCCGCTAATCTCCACTTGATGCATCCCTCTACAGCAAGAACTACATCTAACAGTGTCATGGCTCGAACTGAACTGAACCCACTTCTTAGAATTGTCATTTGTCAAATTCTTCCCAGATCAGGCAGATGCTGCTAAGATTCCAGCATTCTTCCCCTCATACTCCGCCCTCAACCTCATCTTTATCGTTGTTCTCCTCTCTCTTGAAGAGGGAATGGTTAACGGAATCATATCCAGAGTGATAAAGTTGTACCCTTTCTCTCATTGAACCAACACATATTGTCATTCATCCAATCCATGGCATGTGGCAGATTTGCCCAAATACGCATGCCGACAAGAAAGGAGGACGAAATGTTTTAAAGGTGTTTGATGAAATTGCCCTTAAGAGCAAAATCATTGAAATTGGTGGAAAAAATAAGGGATGGGATTGAATCTTGACGTAATCTACGTGATGTGGGGGAAATCCAAAGAATAGAACATCCGAGAATCGGCGTTCGGTCCACTTCACTTTAAGCTGCAACGTAGTTTGGTGGGGATTTCAAAGGAGCTGGACATGATGAGTGACGATTGTTGCTGTCACATGTGTTGGAGGTCTGAGGGTCTACGCAATGTGTGAATGTAAATTTTATTTTTTAAAATCCCATAATATTCGCAGACTATTTGTGTTGCCAATGCTTTATTTTAATCTCGTCTATACAAAATTGATCAAAAATGATTCCTCATGTTGTAAATGTGATTAAATTGACCTAAATTTAATCCATCAACTGTACAAATTTGATCCTAATTTAATCCGAAAAGAATCATTTTGGACAAATTTTGTATAGTCGAGTGATTAAATTGGAGCAACATGATACTCTAAATTGGGTTAGAGGATCATTTTAAAGTTTACCCCTAAAAAAAGTGACGGAGTTGGGAGTGATGAGGATGAAGATAGCTCTCACGATTTAGGTTGGGTATGAATGTGATGGAGGTTGTCGATGTTGGGGATGGTGGAAGATGGCGATCCCAAGCAATGGGGGTGGCGAGTTTAGATTTTTTTTTTAAGTTTTTGGTTGAGAGAGGGGCATTTGGTGTTGATGAGGCTCAACAAGAGCATCAATTATGAATTCGATGCACTGCCTACAAAAATATAATGGCGAGGAGGAAAAACCAGAATTCAAGTTTGTAGAAAACTCTAGAAAATGCAAGGTTGAGAAGGAGAGAGAATAATCTCATGAAAGGGGGATTAGTTCATTTTATCTTCAGATCCTAATACTCCAAAAGAGGAGCATTTAAACACTTACAAAGTTTCATTTAGCCAACAGTTAAGCCTAATACTACTCAAACTACCTATTACAATTATGTAACTACTAACTACCTAAGCTATTGCAATTCAATATCACCATCATACTAAAAGATAGAGTTGCAACATAAGAACTGGCTGCAGACCATCATTAATAAATTTACTCTAACTTCAAGCAAACAAAGAAACCATTATGACCAATCCCCATACGCACGACATATAGATATATTATGTTCAAGTTTCTATTTCGAGCTTTCAAGAAAAAGCTTATAGACATCAATAACTTAACTTTTCAATTTCCCTTGAGAGATTTTTGATAGGGGGTACCTAAGTGGTTCACTGTACTCATCAAACCATCCAATTTTTAATATATTTTGCAACCAGGAGCTTCTATTGCCTTAAAAATGTAGAACTAATAGTAGTCGAGCCATCCAAAAAACAGATCACATCAGATATACGATGAAGCATAAGTTTTGATGCTAATGACTACTACTATACACACCAAAAAAATTTTTATTTACCTAATTCAAGTCTTAACATCCTTGTAAAATGAGCACCCCTACAAGTGAGGTTCAACTAATCTAGTTAGTCCGATTTATAAGAGTCATGGAAGTGGCTACCAACATTTGGGTTCAAACCTTCTATACTCCATAATAAATCACAACCTGCCATGATGCGGACATCCAACCGTCCATGCCAATCCGAGGAGGAGTTGAAGATCGACGTCCGAGATCACTTTGTTTTATTTTCGTTTATTAAGTGTATTTTAATTTAGTTTTGCAATTTCCCTTTTTACCCTCTTGTTTTATGTAAAATCCCAAGGGGGCAAATGTGTCTTTTAAATCTCTTTTGAGGCCTATATATAGAGGCCCCTTCTCTTGTATTAGGATGATGGAATTATAATAAAAAAATTTGTGTTTTGCATTTGTGTTCTTTGGGAAGAACGTTAGTGAAATCCCTATGGGAGGGAGTCGGAGGTTCCACCAGCTGCAAGATGGGTTCGGGCTCGTGGCTTGAAGTCCCTTGGAGGAGGGCAACGTAGCACCCGTCAGTCTTCGGAAGAGTCCAAGGCTCGCAGTTTTATCTTTTATCTTTTGTTTTTGTTCCTTCTTGTTGTTCATAGTCATCATCTTCATCCTCTCCCTACTTCCACCATCACGTTGTCTCCATCTCCACCTTGCCGCCGGCCCCTTACTCGCCCCATTCAAACCACCGGCCACACCCTCTCTCATTCCCCATTGCCTAATTTGGATAATTCCTAATTTTGGATTGCCATAATTTAGTTGGTCTTTGAATTCAAATTTCCCCAAATTTGAAATTCAAATTCTTTCATAAATTATAAAATCTATTTTAGGAAAGTTTTCAAATTTTCCCTCGATTAGATTTTGAATTAATTAGGATGACTTAATTCATTCTAAATTCAACCCCAAAATTAAGGAAGCATTAAAGCCTCCTTAATTCCCTTCATGAATTTTGAATTTCAAAATTCATACATCCCTTAATTACCTTCCTAAAATAACTTATATCAATTTGGAAAGTGTATTTATTTGAACTCAATTCTCCATTTGAATTTCAATACTTTTCTCTTTGATAATCCTTAATTATGAAGCCTCCCAGAACATCTTGTATTCAAATCCTTCCTATTTTATACATCTTAATTTGGTAACGAATTTGACTTGAAAATTCAAATTAATTTGAATTTGAATTTATTTCCTAAATTAGGATTTGATTTAAATTAATTGGATTTGATTTCAATTAATCTTCCTCAATTTTGGTTTTCAATCAAGGCCCACTTTAATTCTCTTTCCATAAACCCTCTTCTCTCTCTACCCGCCATCAAGGAGAGAGATAATTAATTCTTCTCCATTAAGGCCCCAATCTCTCTCCTATTTTAATTAATTCCTTCCTAAAAAAAAGGAATTCCAATTAAGGAATTAATTAAGTACACATTCCCTCCTTTTTCATTTAGTTTGAAATTCAAATTTCAAATGACCCCCTCCCCCCATATCCGTTCTACATCATGCCGGCTCTGAGGCTGAAAAAAAATCTCCTACCGGCCCACAAAAAAGAATGATGGGTACCTATGCACACTTTAGATGCTTTCAAATTCAACAAGGTCACCTATTCTGAGTTGAAAAGATAAAACATCCTAACTCAAGTAGCATTCTCAATGCCTAAATTTTCAATGACCCTTATCAACCAGGATACCATCATGATGGTTAAAATAGATAACTAAAGAAAAGACCAGTATCGTTAAAAGGAAGATGCACACTAATAATCTAGAATAGCTAATATTTGATAAAAAAAATCATCAGCAAAAGCAACGTAAATTTGGCTTCAATGCCCAATACCCTACGAAGATGCCGAATAAAATACTAATGTAAATTTGGCTCCATGAAAGACTTTTTTTCTAAATTAAAGTTGCATAAATGAGCCAAAGCAAACTGGTCAGAAAGGTAGTTCAAAAAGAGCCATCAGTATAATAATATTAATGAAAATAAAAGATAACATCTACAGTGAAGCAATTATAAAGCAGACATCACATTATCAATGCATAAGTAGATAATAAAACAATGATCATAAATAGATAGAACTCAGGCAAAGCTAAGAGAACATGATAACATTGATATTCAATGATAATTATTTATTGACATGTTAGTTATACTTACAGCAGTATTGTAAAAGAAAAGCAGTGAACAGTTGATCATTTTTTTACAGAGGAAAACATGTTATGCATGAAGTATTTTAAAATGGATGCATACAAGTTGTCTACATTTTCATATTATCTTGATATTTCAGAAGTCTGATACTGGAAAGACAAGCTAAAACTTTCTTAAAATTGAAGTGATGGCAAAAACATTTGAGATATAAGGAAAAAGAGATTCACAAGGATACCAGCTTGATGGTCATCCACATAAAGCACTTGCAAGTAGTTAGTTTCCAAAAAAGCATTATGATACATCTCCAGCGACGCCCTCCTGGAAGATAGTTATAGTGTCAACTTTCCAACCCACTCCTCTACAACCCCATAGTCTATACTCAACTCTCTTAGAGGAGGGATATTTTCCATTGCAAAGATCATAAGATGGGGATATGAGACATTATAGTGATCATACAGAACAAATTGCAAAAATACATTTGGGCTACAACTGTGGCTTAAATAACAAGCAATATTCCTTGCCCTTGAAACATCTATGGAGAAGCTCAATTCTGGTAAATAAGGGTATCTTGGTGGTAAGTAGTCTGAGAAAACATCAGAGATATCTCCCCATTCAGCCCATCTTCCTGGAAATCGATTGGGAAACACCAAACTTTCGCCAGCTTGAGAAAGCAGATCTGTTTGCTGCTTTGTTAGCACTATACCTGTGAATTCGCAAATGAAAGTCCCAGCTCGAATCAAATCCAAAGACCGCACACCCCACCCTGTCTCATTGGACCTAAATACCTCCAACTGGTGCTTAATACCCTTCTGGCTCACTCGGTTTGGGCAACTCGGCGGACACTGGCATGCTGCACCACACTCGTAAATCAAAGGCTTCCCTCTCAGAAGCACTCCACTTCCACCATAAGCAAATTCACCCCCATTCAGAGTAGCACAATAGCAATTAGCTGAACAATTTGTTCTACACTCACACCCAGCATTTGCCTCACCATTAAACTTCCCCTGGATATCAGGAGGATAAATTGGGCGAACTAGGTATTCAAACTGCAAAGGATCCTGATCATCATCTAGGTCATTATACAATGAAACTGGAAATGTCTCCTTCCCCATTGAGATATCATCACAGAACACACCACTCTTCCTCACACTCAGAGGATTCATTTTCAAACTCAACGACAGTTTAAGAATAGAACTGCCCATCTCTTCTTGCCCTTCAATTCTCAAAAGTTTGTACTTGTAAACACCAAATCCAGACTTCCCCGCATCCATCCAACAATCAACAACCTTATAAAGCCCATCATAGACATATAATTTCCCAGTCGGGCTCTGATCAAACTTTACCCCCCTAATCACTCGTATCTCAATTCCATACCTCATGCTTCTTTCAAGAGCTAAATTTCCTCCCTCAAGCTTCTGCCCATCACGCATCTTATGCAGATTCCGGTCCCTACCCCCATGACCAGTATATATCAGAACATCCCCACCATCATCATCATCCTCGTAGCCACCAGAGACAATAATGCTGGTGGCAATAGGCTCGCCACTGCTGCTCCGGCTCGCTGGAACATAATCTATCCCAGCTTGGACTTGGCCATGCAAGCCAATCACACAGAGCTCCATTCTAAAAAAGTAGACGTCTCCAACGAAAATCCCAGGGATCGAGCCAATAATCCGCTTATCCCTATTAAGCCATAGCCCGCGATCGGTCATTAGCGCTGCGGTCTTAAGATCGGCGCGGCTTCTCTTTCCAAAAGCCCCCAAACCCTCTCCCCTCGCCTCGTCACGGATGATCAAAACCCTAAGCGACTCGAACGTGATCCGAGTGCGACGAACGAGGTCGCGAAAGTAGATCTGGTCCTGTTCACTCAGTGAGGAGACACGTACCATCTCCGCCGAGCGGGCCTTCCGCTTCTTGGAAACGATCAACGCGGAGGAAGGCGAGGGCGAGGGCGACGGCGGGGGAGCTGTGGCCAGAGGGTTGGCATGGGAGTTTGGCGAGGAGTAGGAGGCCATGAAGAGGTGGGCCAGACGATAGTACTCCGCGAAAAGAGCTTCCTCGTCGGCGGCAGCCGGAGAGAGATGCTGCAGGGGAGTGCTGGGGTCAGTGAAAGGGACGATGGATAGTGAGTTGGGATTCAGAATCTGAGGCATGGGGCCGATGTTCGAGTTCGGTTCGAGAGGTTCTGGCTTTGGCTCGATTTTCGGGGAGGGAAGTAGATTGAGGTCTAAGGAGGAGATCGGGGAAGCCATGGCGTGTTGGTACGGGGAAGAGAGAGAGAAAGAGTTAGGGAGCTCCTCCTGTTAGTGAAGAAAGGGGAGGAGATTCAGAGGGATCCGATCGGAGGAGGAGGGCTGAGGCAATGGGAGTGACTGGTGGCCGAGGAAGAGGGAGGGAGAGAGACGGTTGACAGGATATAATTGTGATAATGTTTCAATTTTTGGGCATAATGGTAATTTTCTCGAGGAACGCACTTCCCACTTTATAAAAAAAAAGATTATTCTGTGCGGAATACGAACGCATCCAGAGGCCCATGTGACGTGTCCGAATTGATCTCCATTGTATCTGGACACCGCACGTAATAATTTATTTCTTTATAAGAGTGCAATCTGGTTTAAGTTTATTAATTAAGCGAGTGCAAGTTCAAATCCGAGATCGAATTTTATTCAATTAGTTCGAGCCGATTTATTTATTATAAAAAAGAAGAATATAATTTAAATAATTATATTTTAAACATATTTTATATCAATTTTTTTTAAATTAGCCAGCTCACAAGCTTATGAGTTGAGTCGAAACTTGCTAAAGCTCAACTTATTAGCACATCAAACCCGACTCACAAACCAGATTATTGAGCTGAATCATAGCCAATTCACGGATTAATTATTCTGTGTGGACACCGAAAGCTATTCGAAGACCAACCAAAATGCACCACATCATTCTTGTGCTCGGAACCGATGCTCGATACTGCTCAATACCACTGACGTGTTTCTCCAATTCACGAGTGGGCTTCACTAAATTACACCTCTACCCTCGTTACATTTTAGACCTGATAAATTGGCGAGGAAATGGCAGCACGAGCCACGAATGGAACTGAAATGCGTCCGGAAAGGGTAAATTGGGAATCGGAAATGAGTGCTCGCAATGGCAACCAAAGATATTAAAGGACATTTTAGCCGAATGTACGAAACTAACCCCTTGCCATCTAAACCTCCAAAATGATGGCCCTGCTTTCATTAATTTCTGCTGAAAGTTCGGTCAACTATTTCCGAGTTTACCAAATAATTTTGGGTGAAAATTTTTCATTTTCAGGAAATTTATAAAAGGGAATTTACGTATATACCGTTTTATTTCATATTATTTACATATCTAATACATAAAATATTAATATTATATGTCTATCATTATTAGATAAATATGAGTGCATGAAATGAAATATTAAAGTTATAGGTTATTATGAGTGATAAAAATAAAATATAGAAGCGATATATTTGATATTAAAATTGTATATGGGTGATTGATATATAATATTAATATTTTGAGTGTTAGATATATAAATAGAATAAAATAAAATGGGATGTATGTAAATCCCCTTTTTCTTAAACTCATAAAAATTATCTAACTTTTCCTACATCAAAATGTTATTATTATTTTTTTTAATTTATTAGATTTTATTGTTTGGTTTAGGGAACTTAACTTGTCATTATATTATTAAATAATTAAAAATTATATATTACTAGTAGGGGTCTCAAAATAAGTTGATGGGTCAGGTTCGAGTCCAACCCAAAATTGACTTGACTCGAATCTAGTCAATATGAACCCGACTCATTTAATAAATGGGTAAAAAAATTCCAACCTTAACCCGAAGCATTAACCTATTTTGGTTAAAATAGTTATGACTTAAATTTTTTTAATGACATGTTAACTATGCAATTAAGGATGTTTGATAAAAAACAAGAAGATTATATCCACAAGAAAAATATTTATGAAAAAAAAGATAATTAAACATGTCATTTTTTTGGTAAAAAATGGGTTGATGAGTCAATCTGAACCCGACCTATTTAATAAATAGATCAAAAAACCCAACTCGAACTCGCACTGTTTATTAAATGAAAAAATCCAAATTTAACTGATCAGGTTAGCGGGTCGGGTCAATTTTTAACACCATTAATTACTTCTCAATTAGGTTATTTATCCACTTATATACTTGTGACTTCAATTTCATTGTAATTATATTTCATACAAAAGAAAATATTTGCATGCACAAATTTTTTGCATTTTTTAATCTGCAGTGATAACTCTCTCAGTGCACGAGAAATTATTACATCCGGTCAAAAACCGAACGGTCCGAATGTATACCGAGCAGTACCGAGTCCAAAATACAGAGTTTTAAGTGATGTGGCACGTGGTTATTGTTCTCTGAACGCATTCGGACACCGGATGTAATAATTGCTCCTCAGTGCACTCGTTATAATTTTATCATCTTAGATCCAAATTTTAAGTATAAGTTGAATTTTACTAAATTGATGAGTTCTACCACTTTATATAAAAAATAGTTTTTTCTAATATCATATATCCATGCCTTTAAAAGCTTTTCAAATCCAAGAGCTCCCATTTAAACCCTAGTAGAAATCTTAAATTTAAAATCTTGTCATATTCATCATCCCATAATAACATATTGTAATCGATTTTACTATATAAATGAAGCATATTCTAAACCATATGAGAATGACTTTGTTTGGGCCATTTTTCTTTAAAGTTTTTTAAAATAGTTTTTAGTATAAAACTTAGACTTCGTTTGGGACGGCTTTCTCACTGATTCTTAAAGCAATTTTTTAGTACAAAAATTAATTTTTTTGTACTAGAAAGCAACTTTAAGAAGCAATAAGAAAGCCGTCCTAAACGAAGCCTTAAACTATTATTTTTCGTACTAAAAAATTGCTTTAGAAACCTGGAAGAAAGTTGTCCCAAACGAAGCCTATATCTATTAAATAAGAATATATTGTAGTCGAAACCTAACCCTTATTCAATCAAACCAAATAACCATCTTGTAGATTTCAATGTCATCATGCCAATGAGATAATAGATCAAAATTATGATGACATTTTAATATTGAAACTTAGGGATAATAGTTCAAACTTAGGGAAATGAAAAATAGCTTCGATAAGATGCCATTTTTATATTGAAATATTCATTTCCTTAAGAGCAGACATTCGCCTTAAATGACTTACAAAATGAAGTTTCCTAGAGATTGTAGAACTCTAAAAGTTTAGAAATTAGTATAAAAAAATTCTTGTAAATAACAAAAATGCAGCGGCCAAAAGTTGTCCAAACGAAGCCTTAAAAAAGTGACCTAGTATTTTGGTATTTATTATAAAGTTTTTTATGAGAAATTCCATTTAAAAAAATCATATTTGCATTTTATCCAATCAAACGTGATAATTTATGTGCCAGAAAATTTTTTTCTTACATTTTAAAATAATTTATGCTTTACTCACACTATGATAGAATCAAACCTGTTCAATATTAAATTGAAAATAATCTATTAATAGATATTAGTATGGCAAATGTTATGCTACATTATATGCATACTGGAAAATTTTGTTAGATCATTTAAGAGATCAAAAAAGTCCCGAAGCTTTAAGCTCTTATAGTCGAAATGAGCAGCTTGATCAGCAAAATGTGGCAAACCCAAAATCACGAATAGTTCAATATCGTTAAAGTACAAAAATATATTAAAAAGTTATATAATCATGTTCGACACGAATAGTTCGATTGTAAAAAAAACTATTGTATTTTCACACATTTTGGGGAGGGTAGATGTTAGGATGAGTTCCCAAGGAGAATTCTAGAGAAGATAATACACAGCTTTACATGCCAACAACTCATCACCATCAAGTTTGACACCCAAGTTTGATACTCGTTGTTTCTATTAAGTCTAATACTTATTGTCGCCAACAATATTGACGAGATCCCAAGAAGGATTCTAGAGAAGATAATCCATAGCCTTACATGCCAACAACTCATCACCATCAAGTTTGACACCCATTGTTCCTAATAAGACTAACAACTATTATCACAAACAATACTGATGACGACTGTTACCAATTATGCTGGCACTAACAATCACCAAAAAGATTGAAGCTTATCATCGACAGCAGGCTGATGTGCATTATCACCAACAAGACCCTTGCACATCATTGCTAATAAGGTTGATTACATCTGCCATCATCAATAGTATCAATGCTCGTGTTTTGAGGGTATCCTAATTTGGGAGTTTGTGCGACTGTTCATATAGAAGTATAAATAAAAAGCATCAATAAAAAAGCTCACCTGACAACTACATACAATTGGAGCACACCTTTAGTACAGTTCAATTACAAACTGTTAGATTATAACAAACCAATTCAATCTCATCCCTACACATGTAAAACACCACATCTATATATACACACACCAAGCCACAATAAGATGTGCTGAAAAAGCTTAACATAGAAATGGAAAAAGGTTCCACTCTCATTTTCCTTTCTATAGTCAATACATTTTCTTTCATGTGATATTGCTCTATTTACAAAGTGTCAGAGTCATTCTGCTCATAACTCTGATCCTTTCAAATGGATGCATCCTCTAGCTTCATCTCACATCGGTGAGATATCCATGGAAACAACCACTGAAGACATTACCATTCCCTCCTCTTTGAAGTTCCTTATCTCAACATCAAAACTATATTGTCCATACAACTATCAAACAACAACTATCGAACATGGAAATCCAAAATACTGAAGATGTTTCGTGCGAACAACTACGCCACATCCCTCGACAGAAACATTACAACCACACCTCACATTCTCATCATGTCCAACGGCACCTCCAGACCAAATCAAGCCTACAACCGTTTGATATTGATTGACCAGAACCTCGCAGTAGCTATTTGCTCCGCTCTATCAATCAACATTTGCTCCTTTGTCCTTGTCACGACCCGACCCGATCCGGGACGGATCCCGCTCGCACCGGGTCGCGACCGGAACGAACAAACTGACTTACTGACCAAGATCTGGTTATGGAATTTGGTTCGGAACTGAATCTTCCAAATAATTCAACTCAAACAGACACACAGACACAGAGCTACTATGAATCATCAAACCATGGTCCAGCTAACCATGCTTTTGTATCTCACAAATGTCAAAACTCTAGTCGACAACATTGCTATTACATGCTCCATAATTGACAGTGAAGACATTCTGTTATGCACAATGAAAACCCTCGTAATATCAGGCATTTAAGCCATTAGTTCAAACCAAATTAACACCAATCGGTCTTGAAGACCTCTACTCCCTCCTCATAAGTAAAGAAATTAACATCTCTGTTGAATCCGTTAAAGATTCACCAATCCCAAACCTGAATGCCGCATTCTGCTCCAATAGAGGTAGAGGATGAGGTCGAGGTC